AGAAAAATCTCCATGCAGTGCGACATGAATGCTTCAGTCATGGTTTTTATTGGTTTGCTTGAAGTCCTTTTCAGAATAAAAGTCTAATAGATTGTTAGGCATAAAAAGATAAATTAATTTCTGGCATAATTTGATTAATGCTGGAGCTGCACTGTAACTGAGTGGGCTCAATGGAATTGTTTGAGTGAAGATGAAGCATAGCGTCCCCAAAGGTTTTACTCCAACTGTTTTCCTGTCACCTAGATTTGAAAAGCTTTCTTGGCAGAAGAATTTGTAACTAATTTATGTTGGTACATAATAGCCAGACAGCTTATGTTTAAATCGCTATTACTTTTGCTATCCCTTTCTGTAGAGCAGTTTTAAGAAGCAAGCCTAGTGCTAACCTAATTTTCTTGACTGGATAATGAGATATTGAGTGTATGTACACAATATGTGTGCAGTGCAGGAGTTGGTGATTGTGTTTTCTTAACCAGGGCTCCTCAAAGGTGCTTAATATTTCATCACAAATTGCATTGGTAAATTAACAGTTCATCTGGCTAGTTAGATTTACTAGGGCAGATGGCATTTCTGTGTGTGATGAGAGCAGGAAGGAGATGGAGCAGAGCAGTAATGTAATTAGCTGTGTAAATGAGCCTCGCAAGGTAAATCTCTTTAACCCCAGTGATAAAATGTGTTTTGTGCTAAAGCCTTGGATTACTGGTCCTGTGAAACAATGTGTGCAGCTGGTCAAGCCAAGATTTCAGAAGTAATCCTGTTAATTTGAAAATAGAGGGCACTGCTTTCGATCACACCTTCCTAGTACTTTAATATTTGAAACAGAAATCAGCCTCAACATGGTACGCTACCAGTAATGCAGAAGAGGGTCATGTGGAGTTACCTGAGTTCGATTTTTAAATAAAAACTTACTTGAATGCTAGAGATGTGATGTTCTAGCTAGGGAGGAAAGGTGCTTCATCAAAGCAAACCAAAATCACAGGCTGAATTAAATGTGAGCTGAGGTGTCTCTTCGTTGTGCTGCAGTGAGCAGTGTAGCCATAGGTGAAAACATGATGCTTGTGTTTACACAGTGCCTGGCACAGGATGTTCCTCCGCTTAACCTTTAAGAGCTGCAGTAGTAACCATGATTACTATCAACGTGCGTAAAACCTGATAGAATCATACAAGAGTTTGGGTTGGAAGGAACCTTTAAAGATCATCTAGTCCGACCCCCGCTGCAATGAGCAGGGAGATTCTTGAACCTGCGAAACCACTAAGGCGTGTTTGTGCTTCCAGAGGTGTGTGTGAGTAGCTGCAGGTAATCTCACATTCGGTTATAACCAAAATAATTTTTTATGCGAATATATATGACTTCCACATTTCATTTGAAATGAATTAACTGGGAATACGTCTAATCCAGTTGATACTGAAGGCTATTGAAATAGTAAATTCATGGCAAAGACTGGTCAATCACTGTGTGCTGCCTGAGGAGAAAAACACCCTGAAGCATCATGTTACTTCTGAAAAATCATTACAACGTAATATAAGTAGCAAACCTTTATTCAGCAGGGAAATCTCACGTTCTGGAAAATTAAGGGGAAAAATGGGCTATGTAATAGTGGCCATTGTGCTATGTATAAAACCTGGGTTGTTTTCACTATTTAACTTGTTCAATCCATGTGGGAACTTTTTCTACCTATTTTCAGGCTTTCTTGTTTATTATAAACCTAAAGGTGTGTTAGTTTCTGATGAACAGCCTTTAGAGCCTCTAAATCTCAAACACATTGAAAATGCTGTTTTCTGCATCAGTTTGTCATAGTGCATTCAGGTGGATTTCTGTCTTTTGGGTTTTTTTTGACTGGCAGGCTATAAATTGTAGAAACAGTATATATAAAAACTTTTAATCAGGAACATTGTGAGCAATTTAAGCATATCACAAATAATCAGAGCAGGGTTTTTTTTGTTGTTGTTTTGGTTTTTAAGTATTGGATGTTCTCCTTGGAGATACTCCAAAACCTGAGTGGACATGGCCCTGGGTAGCCTGCAGTGGGTAACTCTGCACTGAGCTGGGGCGTTGGACTGGGCAATGTTGGGGGTCTCTTCCAGCCTCAACCATCCTCTGTTTCTCTTGCATAGTTTTACATATAGATGTCCATAAATACGTATGTGTGTATAGATGTATGTAAACCATGATGTAAATTTTTTTTTTGTTTAATTTTGACTGGGACAAGCACTCAACTAGAAGAATGAGCAAAAACTTGTCAACTTTTATTTAACAGGAAAGGCTAATGCTTTTAAAATTTTATCTTGTACCAATTCCCAACAGTAGGAAACATATCAAAGGATGCTCTTGTCAATAGTAAAATTTAGCTTTCTTACATGCTTCCTGGCAGTGCTTTCACTCATCCATTAAATAATTTATAATGAAAAGTCAGCAGGATTGTAGGGTAACTTTGAAATAATTCAGATCAGAAGGGACCTCTGGAGGTCATCATGTCTAACCCTTTTCCAAAGCAGGCTGAACATCTGAGTTAAGAACAGCCTGGAAGTGAGGGCAGGTTGCTGGCGAGTCTCCTGCTTGACTTCAGAGTAGTAGCAAGGAGGGTGATGCCACAGGGGCCTGGGTAGTTGGCTCCCATGTTTGCGCACACGCAGACAGTCTGTACTGCTTCGTGCCACTGAGGATCACAGAAGCTATTCCTTTTTCTTCCTTCCCATTGCATTCTGATAACAGTTGGTAGAATTTTCTCTTTAGCGGCTGTTCTGTGGTGTGTTGTCTCACAATGCGAAATGGTTGAGTAAATATGTAGCCAAGAGGGTTATTTTATCACTTTTCTTCTCCTGCTTCATAAAAGGTATTTAGCTGTAGAGAAAATTCTTTGTGTTATGTGTTTTATGCACCAATGCCTCTTAAATTTACTTATTTGGTAGGTATATATATGTAAACAAGAAGAAAGAAATGTTGCCGCTGCTGAAGAAAAAAAATTGTCTGACAGGCCAGTGTGAACTGCAGTTTTGGGGTTTCTGCAGTTCTGCTTCACTTGGCTGTATACCTCCTTGTTGCTGACACTCCCAGAGAAACATGGATGGTGCCTGGGATGGTCTTGATACAGGGAGGACTCTGGTGGTCCCAGTGTGCAGTGGTGGATCAGCTGTGTTACTCATGCAATGGTGTGTGCCCTTTCCTCGGCTCCAGTCAGTCTCCTGACTCTCAAGGTGCAGAGCCTGAAAGGATTTTCAGGGATGTAACTGATTTGTTCTTCCCAGGTGCTTACTTTATATGTCTTTTGGGTTTGCTTCTGTTACTATGGGATTCAGCCTTATCTTCTAGCATATGTATGGTCTTTCCAAAATGAGGTTGCCTCACCTTAGGGAGTCCTTGATCATCTACTGGTAGCACTCTTTCTGCATTTCAGAATATGCTTCCTGTCGGTGGATGATTTGTGGCTTGAGACTCCTGTGATATGTTCACAGATTTTTATTATTTTGTTTGGCAGACTGGCTGACTGCAGCTTCCTTGACATAGGAGTTGTTGCCTCACTGTAGTGTGTTTTCTTTTCTTGGAGAGAGTTTTCTGCAAGGAACTCTTCAGGACCTCTTCAACTTGCAGATCACTTGAGTCCGTGTTCCCTCTGCAGGGTGTTGGGGAGGGACGACTATGGGTGCTGTTTGCTTAGGGGTTTGTTTTCCTGAGCCACATGCAGGATTAGAGAGGTATGAGATCACAGTCCCTGTGAACTCCCTGGAGATATTTCATGAGTGCTACAGGAAATTCTGAGAGGGCTTGGATTTTTGGGGAGATGAACAGTCAGTTTTGAACTTGCGAGTCCTTTGTTGATCCCCAGGATAGGTAACTTAGGGGAGGTTTTTCTCAAGTATGTTGAGTTGCGTGTGGGGAGACTAACAATGGGGCAGTAGTACTATGAAGTGCAGCTCTGTATGAATGTCGGGGCAGAGTGGTTCTCCTTGAGGTGTAGTGTGCTCCTTCATAATGAGTTTCCTCTCGGTCAGAGGAGACCAGAAGTTCAGTCAGTCGTGTCTCCCAAACATCCAAACCACGTTGCTTGTACACAGCCTAGTATGGAGCACACCCAGAGCCACTGATGCCCCTCTGAGGCAGAGGGTCTGCAGAGCTGGGGGTTTCCTTCTTCAGGTGCAAGGTGTCAGAGAAATGACGAGGAGTCAGAATTGCCAGCGTAGTTCCTGTAGGGTTGGCAAAACCTCGGTAAGGATAGGCTGGTGCTGTCTCAAAAAGCTGATCCGTTTGTTGGCAGCTGCTGGGTTTTACTGAAAGAAGCTGGTGAGGTGAAATGATATTTATGTTAAGTGGCACTATTTGTGTTAAGTTTCTGCTTCCGTTTTTTGGTGGTCGCTCTATTTTGTCCATATAGTGAGTAAGTTAGAAATGGGTGTGTTAGATGGGGCTGCACACACGGTAAGCTGGCATTTGTTAGGCTTTCTGATTTTTTTTTTTGCCAGTGTTGCATTCTATCATGCAAAGGCTGTTGGGCCAGAAAGCCATAAAAAAGAAAAGACAGAAAAAAAAAAATTTGGGATAAAGTTAGCAAGATAAGGTCCTTTTTCCTTGTACCATTCAGTCAAGAAGTTGTCATTAACATGCTTGTTTTTCACATTATGTATCTAATTCTGTGTATGTATGCATGTATGTACTTGTCATAGACATGAAGCAAAACTGATACTCAGAACTTTATCCAAATAATTGATAAGTTTGTGATTATCTTTTAATAATGATGCTATGGTACAGAGGATGACCTCAGAAAAATCTTCACTGTATTTCAGCAGTAATTGATTAATCGATAGATAACCTGGTTATCTTCTCATAAAATATACAGCTGATTAAAAATGTTGTTACTAGACGGGTTCATAGAAGCACTTAGGTGCTTGCCCATCCTGTTGATTTCTTAATTTCGTCTTGCCTGCCTAACAATAGAATTCATACCATCCTTTCCTCTGCTTTTATTATTTGTCATTTAAAACTCTGGAATATTCTTGCTTATTTTCAGATCTCATCAGAAAACTAGCACAGCAGAAGTTTGGAAATACACAGGGTGATTATCAAAAGGTAAATTGTCTATATGTATCTTCATAAAATAATTAAAACAATGACTTTGAAATTCAGATTTGTTTCTGAAATAGGAAATAGTATGTTAAAGGTATAACAACAGGATGCAAGAATGAAATTTGTGAATGCTGAGTATGATGGCTTTGTACAAAATTTGGGACTAAAACCTTTCAAAAATATTACAAAGAAAATTTCATGAAAAACTGTAAAGAAACTATGTGTAGTTAAGGCTTACTTAGAAATTCCAGCTGTAATGTGATTGTAGTGTCTGCTGCACAAAGATTGAAAAATACTGCTTTTATTTAAAATTGCTTAGAGAGAATCATTACTGCTCAGCTCTCATGTTAGCTTCATCTATTGTCCTCAAAAAGCTGAATTTATATGCTGGTTCTGATGCCTTTGTAAAATGAAGTTTCCATAGCCTACTTGTATTTTATATTTTAGTTTATGTAGTGTGCTAATCACATTAAGGATATATTCCATTCTTTCTTTAGGTTTGTGATTATCCTGTAACAGTGGAACTTTGTAGGGTACTTGGTAGCAAGAGAAGATAGAATATAATGTGCATCTGACTTTAGGCTGTTCTCAAGGAGAGTACCTTGTCGTTGAAGCAACGTCACTGTCTGAATTCCTGCAGCAGGAACCTTAACCAGGTCCATGCAATGGACACGTTACTTTGTATGAGCTACCTGCTTATAGGCCCTGCAGTATGGTGTACCTGTCAGGAAGATGACTATGGAAGTTGGCCTGCACTGAGCTATTGCCTTGAATCAGGATGACCTGAATAATCTTGAGGTTTGAGGGGGGAAAAGCCTTGTGCTTCCATGTCTTCCTGACCATGAGCCTATCACTCCAGTAGCTTGATAACTTCTGTATGACATCCAAGTGTGTGGGTATTGTTGTAATGCTGCAGCAAATGCCTCTTGCCAATCCCGTATGCTAGTTTGGTGGGGCTCTGAGAGCAGTGCATCGCAGGTTGTACCTGCACACCCAGGAAGAACCGTAGGGTAGACTTGGCTGGCAGAGTCTTTAGACAAAACCTCTAGACCATAGGTGGTATATGTGAGTGTGTGTATCGTATTTTGTAACTACTGTGTAAGTCAGGAGAAATTAGAGACTAATGACAGCTGTAGTCCTGTGTAGTGGAGATACTTGTTAAGATACTGTGTGATGATAGTGGCAAATACAATATTACCTGTGCTTAGGAAGTAAACTGGATATAGGCCATTTATAGGTCCTAATTTTGACCTGAATGCAATGCAAAACTTCAAAACAAATTTGGAATAGGAAAAATCTATCAAGGCAAGTAGAGGGTCCCTCAGAAGATAGAAGCATCAGTGAGAGGAGCTATGAAGAGGCCAGCATGCCTGTAGATGTGCCCAGGAGGAATTTCCAGTGGGAATAGGGAAGTGTGAATGTCACTAAAGGGTGTGGGTAAGTAGTTAGTTAGAAACGTTGCCTGTGGTTTTGATCTCTCAAATTCAGGGAGAATGAACTCAGAGTAGGATGGGTTCAGGAAGTGTGTATTAGGATGTTCTGGGAAACACACAGGTCTTCAGAGGAGACTGGAAGAGTTTGCTTAGCTTAGCAAAACAATTGGTACAAGGGGTGATTGCTCTTCATAAATATATTTGGAGAGGAAACACCAGGTAGAAGAAGTGCAAAAGATGGTGCTATCACAGAAGCAAAGGGGCAGAAATGGGCCATGCGTACATCCATGTAAGAAGACTCACTAGTTCACCGAGTGTTGGGAACAGCCCTTCCGTAGCCAGAACAGGGAAGTCTGATTCTGGTATTCATCCTGTTAAATTTCTACTGTTGTTCCTCTGTATCTTTTTTTTTTTTTTTTTAAATCTGTTTGTAGAATGTGTTAGTGACCCAGGAGGCGCTTCTCACTTCTGTGCTGCCTGTCCCTGTGTTCCCAGTTGGACTCTCACCATCCACATCTCCCTGTCCCCTGTCAGAGACAGCAATCTGCCAGGACAGCCCGGCAGCTGAGCACAGCTGCTGTGCCTGCTCAGGGAGAGGCAGCTCGCTGCTGCTGCTGCCATTGCTTTACTTCTACTGGGAGATGTGTTTGCTAAAAATGTTCAAAATCATACTTGTTACCAGATTTTTAAAAGAGGGTAAGCATTTTTTTCCCCTCGTTAAAAGTATAGTTCCAAATACGATTTTGAACGTTTCAAGCGTATTGTGCAGTAGAAGTTTCATAAAGAGGTGTGTGATGCTGAAAATAATTTCCTAAAACTTGAGAACACTTTTGATTCTCATACATCAGACTTTGGGTTGAGGGGTCTTGTTGTCTTTAGCTTGTCCACCTCCCTTTTCTCTTCTGCTTATGAGAAAGGGGAAAGCATTACCAGCTGTGAGCTTGTCTTACAGAGATGAGTGTGAAAAATTCCATTGTGGAAACAAAGGGGGAAATGGGTCCTTCTGAATCCTGTCATTGAATGTCTAGTTTTCAGTGTTTTTCTGAAATTACAGATAAGAAATCCATTAAGAACCTGATAAATAGACTTCTTTAGTCTGTCTTAAATGCCTTTTCTTTTTTACTTTTGAATAATTTAAAATAAACCTCTACATAATTGGTTAAAAGTGGGGGTGAGTTTTGTGTGTAATGTGTTAATGTCCCAAAACTGCTACTAAAACTGCTGCTTTTGTGCCAAAATAATAAGCGTTGAAAGTAAAAAGGTAGTCAGGAATATCATAGGTCAGTTATGACAGGTGGAATTCATGAAGAAATCGCTAAACCACAAAGTAACACAATCTCTGGACTTCTGTGAGATGTTGGGAATTATATGAAACAGATGCTCAGTGCAGAAATAACTGGAAATTCTGTTGGACAAATCCTAGATTCCTTTCACTTACCAAGGAAACCAGAAATTATCTGCTATGTATTTTATTGTAAATAATTTTCCATAATTATTTAATGGTGCTTCTATGCATTATTTTACTTCAGTGGCTTTTTATTGTTGTTTCTGTGTTGTTGATTGTTTGGTCATGGTTAATTATTCATTATTCACGTGATTTGTTTTTGTGCATGCTGCCTGTGTATTATACACATTCTCCATTTGTTTTGACTTCCACAGCCAGAAAATGTTGTCCTGACACTTCAGGTAATGTCTTATGGTAGATGTACAGCTTTGAAAAGAAACTAACCATGTCTGTATGTGCTGCTTCTATTAAAACATCCACAACTATTTTTAATGTTATTTAAAATGTGTTTTTTCCATCTAACCTGTTTTAAAATTCATGTTGTCAAATAATTTCTGAAGTGTTCAGCTAATTAGAAAATGGCAATTCTTTTGCAAAATCTAGCCAAGCTCTTCTTTCAAGCATCTAGTTTGTATTCTTCAGAAGGGATAAGAGCTTTTAACCAGCAGTTAATAAATAATATTAATTAAAAAAAAGTTTCATCCTAGAATTGATAATTAGGTCAGAAATTTGCAACTCTAATGGTGGTGGCTGCTGTATTTGGATCAGTTGGTAATTAGGAATTGTGAGGAAGGGCATCAGCAAAGCTGGAACTAGAGCATGATTGATAGCTTGAGAAATTGTAACTTATTTTGCAGGACAATACACAGCCTCAATTTTTATCCTTTTACTGCCAAGTTGCCCTTGTGCTGGCAGATTAGTAAAACAGAGAGGACTTGAAGTACTAGTGTGAAATTAGTTCTCCTAAAATTGCGAAAGGAAAAGAGAAAAGGGATTTATCAGGGAAGGAAGGCCACTGGGGCATGCCCACGCTGTGCTGTCTACCTCTGTGCACAGACACCTGCCCGATCCGGTTCTGGATGTGTCGGCTTGTGTTCGCGGCAGAGGGAAACAGCGTGGCCAGCTTGCAGCTTGTCCCATGGAAGCCACGTTCCTCGTGTGGGGCTGTGCCAGGGCTGCCTGGCCCAGCTTCTTGGTCCTGGGGTACTTGCACTGCTTCCAGCATAAAAGCTTGTTAGGGTATTGCATTGCATCGTTCCTTTTCACTCCTTCCAGCTTTTGAAAGCGTCCTTTTAGTCGCTGCTGCTTTGCTGTTTGGCAGCAGAATAAATGACTTTACCTGAGAGAGCTTAAAATCCACTCCTTCACGTTTTCCAGTCCCTAAGCAGTTTTTACTCCCAACAGTTTGGAGAAACCTCTGCCGTTGCAATCGATCATCCAGTGAAGTACTTCCCTTTGCGGTTCATATAAATCTTTACACTCATAACTGATTAAAAAGGAGAACAAGCTAAGCCTCCCTCCCCCCTCCCAGATGAAGTGTTGATCTAGTCAGCCTTGCTGACATTTGTGAAGCCTTTTTGAAAACAGGTGTGAGAAACAGTGAATTTGTGGTCCAGGGAATCAAATGTGTTCATTTTTAACCTATTTCAATTGCATCTATTCATATTCATTTCTTGTGAGCATATTTCTCTCTTAGCACTCACTCCTGTAGTTTACCTAGCTAATATTCTAGATAAATAATTATTAGCTATCAGTGTCTACAATGTTATGTATCTTTTTGTTAGAGAAGTTGTCAACTATTGACAAAATACATCAGGTCCATAACCTCAGTAACTTAGATGGTTTAGTCTGTAGTTTGATTTTTTACTTTTTTTTAATTATTTGCTCTATACTGATTGCAGTTACTGTGTGATATCTGCTATTACCACTATTTTTGTCTGAATTACAGGCCATCTACTATGAAATCGGTTTTATAGTCTCCGCAGCCTTGGGATTGCTATTTATTTTGTTACTGCCTCTTGTGGGACTTTGCTTCTGTATGTGTCGTTGCTGTGACAACTGTGGTGGGGAAATGCATCAAAGACAGAAGAAAAATGCTGACTGTCAGAGGAGCTGTTTTGCAACATTTCTTTTTGTTGCTTCTTTAATAATAAGGCAAGTGTAATAAAGAGAACAATATCAAGCTTGGTATAGCACTAATTTTGCAGTGTCATGTGACAAATAATGTTACTGTGTTAGCCTGCAGGTGTAGAAATTATTTTATTAGACTAAAATTATTGCTTATTAAAGAAAATGTGACTGCATTATAAAAATGCTGCTACCATTGCTATCCACAGGTTGTTACATACTCACCTGAGAGGAACATAGGTGTGAAACAAAAAAAAATGAAGCTTCAGTTTGGCAAATGAAGTTTTTGCCAGTCTCAAAATGGCAATTGCAGAATGTTATGCTAAACTTATGAACATAAGATACCGTGTCCTATGTTCCGTTACCATACCCTAGAGAACATGAGGTACAACGTACTGCCGTGTTCTTGGTAGCGTAGTAGTGGTGAGAAAAGCAGTTGTGTGACCTCCTTCAGTATATGCTGTCCTCCAGATTTGCTTATTAGTTCAAAATACTGGGTTTTCTTTTGGACACTGAGTTGTTTAAACCATGCATGCACTCACTGTAAAATCCTGGTGTTTGGAGAAGTTTTTGCGCTATTGGTGTTAGGAGCATACTGCTGTGCTGGCTGTGTAACGGGTGATGAGGGACTATAATAAGACTTTTCGCTGTAGATGCTTTCAAAATACATTGCTTGCTTTCAGGCCTTTTATTTTCCTTCAACTTCTTCATATTTTCACCTGCCTACTATCCTTACTTTGTGATTATATTAAAAAAAAAATCAAGTCTTGATCTATACTATGTGACTGTTCAGTCAGGTGAGAGTTTGTCACTTCACTGTAATCTGCTTTTTTTTTTTCTTTTTACTGCTATTTGTCATGACAAATTGAGACCTTGCCTATGCTCAGACATAGGCCGTGCTGATACCAGGTATGGGAACATGCTCTTTTCTCCCAGGCATCACTAAGTGTCATGTTTAAGTGTTCCGAAGACTAGAAAGCTGAATGGTATTGTAGGTGATAGGTGCATCACTGCCATGATGATAGGACAAAAGTTCTTCACAGTACAGTCATGCCTCGAAGAGTGTAAGTTACTAAATTACCTCTCAGTGTGCCAAAACTGAAGGTAGCTCACAGAGCTTGCCAGCTGTCTATATCACGTTGCAGAACGCTGTGTTGCAGGATGCTACATTCTGGTTGTAATGGCTGAGGAGTGTTGCCTGTCAGCAGAGAAGTTAGGAGATAGTCCCCTTGTTGGTCTCTAACTTATGCATTTACTGCCAGCTATTTTTGTGGTATTAAGCATACCTGGCATTGGCAGATGCTTCCTCCCAGGTCATGGCTGGCAGGTAGTGATCCCTAGTAACATGCTTTCCAGGACTAGGGAAACTGCCTCATCCTTTTAAGGGAGAGGTTGGCCTGAGCTCTGTCTGCAGACTTCCACAGGTGGAGATAATCTCATATGACTCCCTGGCTAAGTCTCTAATGCTGTGAGTGCTGTGCAAGGCAAGATGGGACTTTACAAGGCTAATAATACTGACCCCAGCCTGACTGAGTGCTCAGGGCTCCAGTATGCTTCCATACAAAGCAGGATTCTGCTGCCCTTCCTGGATCCTCTTTCACAAGGGAAGAGAAGATGCTGTGCCTGGATCTATTTAAGCCAGGTCAGCTTGCTTACTGCTATGCTGAAAAACAAGATGGCTTGTTGGTAGCCATTGCCCTAGCAAAAAAACTGGAGAAAGCCTGAGACTTATTTACAACTGTTTCTCCATTTCTTATGCTGTGTACAGACTAAGTCGCCTTGTGGATTTATTCTCTACTTTTCCCCCAATTTACCAGGCAATTTCAGCTTAGGTGGAAGATTTACCTGTAGTTGTTCTTCCCAAAATTACACTTCTGAAGGACTGTGCCACAGCTGAATGCATGAGCTGTGACAGTAATCAAGAGTTTAGTCCTGTGCAAGTAAAATACTTATGACAGAGCCAGAAGAACAAAAACTTGAATGATCTCTGCTAATACAGGGCTACATCAAGGTGTGCCATGAAGTCACTAGGGTGGGTCTTCTCACTGTTCGGGTGTAGTTTTAAAATTCATGTGGCATTGGGGGCCTCCTTTGGGAGTATGTCTCCCAAACCCCTGCTAGGTGACTGGAACGCTGTGGGCTCCTTCATCTGCTGTACGGCTTCAGAAGATACATCTAGCAAGGCAGGCACCCATCAGAGTACCCTGAACCCACACCTCTGCCAGTGGAGCTTTGCTTTAATGGCCCTCCAGTGGAACGCCCGTGCAGACAGCTGCTGGAGGGAGCAGGAAGGATTTCTAGGGGAAGGACTTCAGGATTAACACCAAAGTGTAAGTTCTACACCTTCCTCTGTCTTCAGAGGAATTCAACTTTTATTTTTTCAGTCCTTGGTATGGAAGGATAGGTCCAAGGATAGGTTTCCTTGGCTGGGAAAGACAGGTCAAATGCATGTTAGAGAGTATTAGTTGCGGAAGGACGCTGAATGCAGAGCTTGCAATAGGTTGTATATGTAGGTAACTTCTCTTGAAAACTCTCGTAACATGGGGATGGCTTCCCTATGTGTCGATATGTAAGTTCACAATGTAGACTTTAGAAGATTTCGGCTAGTAGATTTTTAATAATGAGGAACATTATTTCTTCTTACTTTTCCACTGATACAATGCTCTGGTAATTAGGATGAGGTTTTAATACTAAGTTTACTGGAATGGTATGTAAAGGAAATAGAAGATGACAGATTTGTTGGGGTTTTTTTAATTTAAAAATTAAATTTAAAAATTCAGATCTGCTCTCTGAAGGTGGGGTGTATGTGGGAAGTACGCTTTCCTCAAGGAGGGTTATAAGAAACAAGTCAGAAGACTTGGGGTTACATACATAGTTGTTTGTCTTAAAGTAAATTGGCCTTAAGTGTGTCATTTTCTAGTACGTGCACTTTGTGTTTGAAATATTTCTTTTGTAGTTTGAATAAAAAATACATGCAATTTTTTTTAGTAATTCAGTTTTTATACATGAATGTTGTCTTACAAAGGAGGATTCTATTGCTAAAGAGCACAGGATGTCGAAATAATCTATCAAATAGATAGCTGAGTAGGTTTGATCTTCCAAATTTATCATTAAAATAATTTTGTGGGTTTTTTTCAAAGGTTAACTGAGAGTTTAGGGACAGAGACCTGCTATAATGTCTTATTTCTAGTAATCTGCAAGCTTAGGTAAACTTTTTTTTTTTTTCTGGGAAAGAAATGTAATTTCATAAATTCTTCCACATTATAAAGGCAAGGAAGGACATTTTGCTTTTAAGAAAGCATACGTTGCAATACCAAATGTAATATTGGCGGTAAAGTGGCCTGGCTATCGGATAGAAAAACACATAGTCAGTTTTCTGTTCTTCCAAGAGAGCTTGTGTTATGACATTGTGAATGTTATTATGTGTGAAGCTAGGGCAAGCCACATCTGGAGGAAGGGAATGACGCTTGGTACCTTGGCAAATACCTCGTGCAGTCTTCATAGAAGTCTTCTTGGCTTTGTAAGATTCCTAATGCATGTTGTTCAGAACCTGGGAATCAACGTTATGTGAAAGAACTGGTGGAAAAGAAATCTCTAGCCAATTCTTTTCTTCAGTTAGCTAGCACTGAGGAAGGTGATGTTCTTCCAATATGTAAATCTGTTCAGGGTTTCTATTCTGTGACTTGAAATTTTTTGCAAGCATAGCTAAAGGAAAATCTTGGTGTCCCCTCCCTCACAACTGAATTAGTAACATTTGTATTGGTTTGTGAAACCTGATGAGAAATTGAGTGTGGAATATCTGACTCTTGAGGAGACTGTTTAAACAATTCTCTAATCTGTTACAGAAAAGACATGTCCTTTTTATTCCTGCTTTATGACTTTCCTCTTGTAGCTGCTTATTGAATGTTGACTCAAGGCTCAATTACATAATAAATAGATTTTTCCTCTCTCACGCGTTTGTTTTGCAACTACATTCTGAATGGAACTATTGTTAAGAGTGCTTTGTCTACTTAAAGCATCTCTGCTATCTTGTTTCCTCCCACTCCTTCCATTTAAGAGACTGAAGAGAGAAATGATCATGCTCGAGTCTTACAAAGTTCTGTTTTGTTAGCTTCCAATTGACCTTTCTGCTCTGCAAGCATAACATTGAAGGGACAAAACCACTGGCTGTCCAAGGAACAAGCATGTTGTTATAAACTCTGAAGCTCAGAGTGATACACAAATGTTTACTTTTCCTTGTAGCTTGAGATAGCTTGTCTTCTGATTAGAAAGAAAAAAAGTTTTAAAGACAATTACCATCACTGTAGAGTGAAAAGAAATAATATATTGCATGTGTCCAAAATAAAACCATTTATTTCTGTTTACTTTGAAAGTTACTCAGTTTCTTGGCATTTTATGCATTCTGAGTTCTCATTCCATGGGTGGTAGCTGATGATAATGGCTGCTGGAGTGTTGGTCATAGTGGGAATAAAACTCTGCCTTTTGCTGTTGGTTAAATAAGTAGTGAGATAAATGCTGGTATCCCTTGGTTCATTAGTGACTTCTGGGAAGGTAGTTCCAGTTTTGAAGACATAGCTGTCTTTTGGGTAGAGAAGCAACCTCTTTATGTCAAACTGTCATCCTGTTCTGAATAGAATATTTTTGGATATTGAGAAAAATTTAGTGAAGCAACCCTAATAGACCATCGCCTGTAGCGTATAGTCGTGCCATCTCTCCCTGTATCATGCTGTGAAATTGGACTTTTCCTACTGAAAGTATTTTTCAGAGCAGCAAAAATTCTTGTACTTGAGACCTGTTTTACCAGCAGAACAAGCCTTTTTGTTGTCTGAGAGAGCTAAAATACGAAAAGCAAAGTGAAGATGAAGATTTGGTTTTGAATCACTGGTAAGAGGAGATGAGCATCATCAAGGTGTTTGCTCCTGTCTTGTAAGGGCATGCAAACTATGTTATTTTGGGTACCCATTTGCTCTCCACCATATAATTTCTTATTTATGTGGCTGTTTTATGGCTTCCTTTGAACAGTCTTTGGAGCAAGAATTATACTTACTATATATATTTTGCCCCATAGGGAGCCTGTTATGGGTTTTGTCTAAGTCTTATTTAAAAATATTAGTATTTATGGCGTCTTGATACCCCAACTCAGGAAGTTGAGTGGGAGGAAGGGAGGGAGGAGTACAGGACCGTTTGTGCCAGTGACTCCCTTCTCCTGTGGTTTGGATGTCCATAATGGCCTTTCAGGGTACTGCCGCTCTAATATTGAGCTGTTGGACTACAGTGCAAAGTAAGAGACTGAACAAATGTGCCATCCAGAAATTGTCTGTAATGCATCTGGCTGCAGCCTTCAGGCCGTGTTTGCCTTTTGGGGATGTATTGTGCCTGTGTTGAGTGGATCTGTGCTGTCTGACAGTTAAATCTGTGGGAAGTTAGTGCTTAACCCATCCAGTGGGTTTTTGTAGTCAGCCTGTTTGTGAGGCCTTTCCGTCTCTGGTGGTTACTCTTGATTTTTCTGTGCTTGTCTGAAAGGTTAGCCATTGTGAATGTGAGATGTTTAAAAACAAAAAGTCATCCTTCTGTTTAAGTCTATCTTACACCTAAACTAAACAAAAAACTAAGGATCATGTATGCTAAGAGACCTTTTGAAGCCTCTCTTGAGACTTTTAATTGCCTTTTTACTTACTGTTTGTGCAGATCTGCTGTGCTGTAATTAGAATTTTACAGTGGGGAATGATCAAATAGAAAATAATCAGCAGCAGTGCTGACTAAAAGTCTAGCTCACTTTCTACTTTTTGTTTTAGCATCAAGAAATGCCTAGATATTATTTTAGTGTTAATAGGGACTATTCATGTGCTTTTAAAAGGTCTGTGCAATTATTTAAATAAATTGGGCCATTATAAGTAAATGTTGCTGAAGTTTTCAAATGTAAAGTATTCCTTTTCACAGTTAACCTATGAGCATTTGCTTGTAGCCATGTCAAGGTTAATGATATTTGTAAAAAAGCCTGACATTTATAAGTCTGGTACAATCTACCTAGGCTCTACGCACTTTCTGACAGTATCAATGCAAATGGATAAGTACCTGTACATTAATAACCTCTGAAGACTTTGGGTTAACATTGCTTTTTCCTTTCTTTTTTTGAATTAGTAGTACAATGTCGGCCCTTACGGCTAATTCCTCTACTCTGCCTCGTGGTGCATGTGAGAACTTGTAGTAAGAAAAAAGGAACGTTTAAATTTATGGAGACCTTTATTTTAATAATGTTTAATCTTTTTTGCTGTAATTTTTTTTGGTTATTTTTTAATGTCAGAATGGGCATTTACGGTAATAAAGAAGTGTCTATTATCTGTATTTTTTGTAGTGTTGGAGTGCTCTGTGCATATGCTGCCAACCAGCATTTAACTAACCAAGTCCGAGGAGCAAAGAAACTGGTTAACAGTAATTTTAAAGATCTGAAAATTTTCCTTAACGACACTCCAGCGGTAAAGAGTTTTTTCTCTATGGGGAATGGGGGTGGGAGGGAAGAGGTGTAAATAAGAAGTATTACAGAAAATAATTGTTTGTTTGATATAAATACACCTGCAGTATTTTGTTTATTCTTTTGTGTGTCAGTCTCATGAAGTAGAATAAATGATGCAAGGTAGGACATTTTCATGCAGCAGTAAATGTTTGGGAGTTTTCTGATGGGTCAGCATTCTTTGAGCAGCTTTTGAGCTGTACTCCTGGAGTATGCTGTGATGGTGCTTGTAGGCCCTTTTCCTCCTACTGAACTGGTGTAGATCACTAGCAGAAGGTGAATCATTTGGAAAAATATGGTTTTAAAATGAATACATATTAAAAAAGATGTTACATGAAAACTTGGGTTCCTTGTTGCTTTTTCCTGTTTCCTTGTATTTTGGACTTGCTCAGTCCCAGAGCATGTACAAGTTACAATATCTTCAGAAGTATTTTTGACTTTTTAAACTACTGTCATACTGTGCCATACTGATCAGGAAAGTTTCTCTGCTTTTGACTTTCAACCTTTCCTGTTTGTCCCAAAAGCACTCCTCTGCATATCTTTTTTGCATTGGAAGTAAAAAAAGAAATGCTAGTAAGGAAGACTTGTAAACTTTCCCGTGTACTAATTTCAATTCTTTATACATTAAGAGGAAGAAAAGTCTGACAGTTCTATTACCTTGGCTTTCATTAATTTTAATTAAATTAAATTTAATTAATCTGTCTTACTTCCACATGACATAAATTAGAAATGGGTGGCATTCACACAATTATGTGGGATCCACAAGTGTGGTAGTATCCTGGTCACAGTAACTCCAGGCTGTTTTTCTGCTGACAGGACTGTAAGAGAACAGGAGACATCTGGGGGATGCCATTAAATGTTTCTGTATCTGGAGTTGTTCACTATACAATTATTCGTTTGTGCATGGTGTTGTGACAATCCAGTGATGGAGCCATATGGCAGGAAGTGGAGGTCACACCAACAATCTGTCTTGAAACAGAGTGCCTTTCGTCAGTCTGGAGCTGACTCAGGGTACATAAAGATGTAATCCGGTTGCGTCAGAAACCGTTAGACTCCCCTTCACAGCACGCCGAGTGCCGACAATAGGAAACATTGGAGTAGAAAGTCTGTTACATAGAAGTAACTATCTTAATAGAGGAAAAAAAATAGATGCTAGCTAAAAAATTACTAAAACTGCCTGAATTACTGAATTTAAAGGTGTCAGGACTTGAACACTTGTGCTACAGGTTCCTCAAAGTCTCACTTAGGTAGTAGGATTTTAGTTTCTATGCAGGATTATTCGTATTTCTTTTTTAGATTAGATGACACTTACTGATGCAGTCATCAGATATATCTTTTAAGTCATTTTGTCAGACAAGATACATGAGTAGCATGTATACACACACATTTGTAAGAATTTCTTCAGGATAGGAGAAGGACTTCAGGTTCTTGAAAAAGTTGTAGAATCCAACTAATTGGCTATAAAGCTCTGAAATCCTAACTGATGTCCTTGACTCATCAGTATGAGGTGTACAGCATATAAGAGGATTTGTAAAAAGAAGTCACGTGTTAAAGAGTTCATGTCAGAAGATTTGCAGACTATGAGTATTAAGCGATAACACTATTAGTTATACAGAATCGCCTTTTGTCTGTGACATTGCTGGAGACAATGCAAAACCTGTAGCCCTGCAAAATTTTAGTCCTTACATTAGCCTAGGAAGACAAACCAACCAAACAAAAATATACCTACAGCCTTCTTAGTAAGAAACTCTCAATTTTTTTCTCTTTTTTTTTAGCAAAAGGTGGTCTGCCTCATACTTTGTCATTGAATTACATCTACTGATGTATGATTGATAGGCTGGTTTGAGGGTGTGTTTTTGTCCGTTTTTTTTTTTTTTCTGACTCCATGGAAGGTTTGAGACTGCAAGCCAGATACACTTTGGTACACATCTGAGTTATATTTAACATTGGAAACCCATTTTTCAAGTGTGTAACTTTTACATTACTTTAATTAAAATGGGGTAGGATTCATAATGCATTATTTTAAACATACAGAAATCAATGAAGGTTATTTAATGTCTTTTCGAAATTAGTATAGAAAGATTTCCACTTGGGATGGTTCTTTGCTAGCCTGTTGTCCAAACCCAGGATCTGGTGGTAACTAAACTGCTGTTCTGTATTGTTACGGTGTCTTGGTAGAGCTCAGGTTGTGACTGGGCCAAATCCACCTGGGGGTAAGGAAAACCATTTGCATTAAGACAGAGCAGCCAGCTCCTTTCTTCAAGAGAAGCTCCAAGAGACTGCCCAGATACAAGCCAGCCTGGTTGGTGAATTTCTTCAAAGTTACCACCCCATCAACTTGCCACATGTCTCTCCGTGAAGGAGGAACTAACGCTGCTGGAAAATCGAATAACAGAGATGAAGACATGCAAGACCTTATTGGCCTGCCTGACTTGAAGCCTTCATAAGGCTGCAGTTCCTGCTACTTAACACTTTTAAGCTGAATCATTTACCCCAGAGATGTTCCAATTAAGTAGATTGCCCAATTAAACACGTCTTTTATTGCGAGCAGTTCTGCCAAGCAAGGGTTTAAAGTACTTAATTAACAGTAGAAAGCCAAGATTTTGGGGGTTTGCACAAATATGTTGATTGTCTCAAAGTAGCAGTTTGACTCATTATTTAAAAGCATTACTTTTTTCCAATTATTTTAATAGGTTTTTTATCATCTTCTTTTCAGCAAATTGACTACTTGGTGAGCCAGTACAACACAACTAAGGATAAAGCACTCTCTGACCTAAATAGTAAGTACCCTGATTTAAAGGGGGTTAGCGCTGTGTATTTAAAGACTTCAGTAAGATGATGTAAATAGCTCGTAATGCAAAGTCAAATTTTATTTATGAGAATATGGGTTTCAAGCAGAAGTGCTGTTCTCAGTGGTAAATGAGACTAAAACATAAAATTCTTTTTACATAAAATGTCTCAGAGCTGGTATTACACATATTATTTCCTGAAATGTCTTTTATTAAATGGCTTCTACAGTGAGTCAAGCTAATATTTTATTTTCCTACTTATAGTTCAGTAACCAAATAATACTTAATGCTTTTTTTAGAATGTTATTCCTCAGTTTTTAACTGTGGAGCCAAATGTCAAGGAACAGAGCTACTATCTGTTTTGATGGTTCCAATGAGCGAGAGATCTCTGTATTTGTTTTTTACTCCTTTGTCCTCAGCTAGAAGTCGAGGTATAAGCTTATCTTCTTTCTAAAGCTGCTTAACATATTTGCCGTTTCAGAACGAGCAGTTGAAGAGTAGGAGACAAAACCTGAAGTACAACTGCTGCACTTTCCCCTTCAGCACAGTTACAATATGAGGCATCACCTTTTAAAGCTCTCAGTAAACAGAAACAACCAAACCACTGTGGGGTTTTTTTGGGCTTTTTTTGTTTGTTTGTTTTGGTTTTGGTTGGTGGTGTTTTTTGTGGGTTGTTTTTTTTTTTTTTTTTTGTTTTCGGAATTTAAGCATCAGTTTCCAAAACTGATAATACAAAGGGCTGACCATATTCAGTGCAGATTAGAATTGAAGATGCATTGTTAGCAGGTGTTAATAAATGTGTAGATCTGCCTTTCAGACTGAAGTGAAATACAGAAATACCAAAACTGATTTTAAACAGGATCGTTGCTGGGATCAAACTATGCAACTGTGGCAATGTGCCACTTACCATAAATTTACTTATCATGCCCAGGATCTATACTTCTGTCTAGGTTTGAAACTTATTTTAAAAGTAGTTTTCAGTGCAGCCAGCTTGGCATATCCTGAGGTCAATGTGTCTTGTCTGTATGAGGCTACTAACATACATTGAATGTGGTTGCGAAAGTAGTAGTAGTCTTCCTACTTAATTCTAGGCAGAAACACTCTGGTCTAAAAGAATGTGTGTCACCTTGAAGTCAATAACGATAATAATAATAATAAAAAAAAATTGATATCTGCTTTTCAAGTACTAGCTTTTAGCTTCCCAGGCGCTCCAAACCGAAATTTCAAATTAAATATTTATTTGTTCTCAATGCCAATTTAATATGTTAGCTAACGGGAACCTAGCTGGATCTGTGATTAGAGTGCTCATCAATAAATAAAGATAGCTTTTATTTTCTTGAAATACCAGAATTAAGTGTGTTACACCTGGGGACAAAAAGGATATCATTCTAGGGGAATCAACAGTAGCATAAACCTCAAGAGAAATGTAGATGAGTTCAGTTTGCCCACCCTAAGGAAATGCTGAAAAGTGTTTTCTGCTTGATAAAAATTCTCATCCCAAGCCAGACATGACAGTACTGACAGTAATGGATGCTTCTGTACCATGCAGTATTCCCATCTCATCAAGAGCAAAAAAACCTCAAAATGCTATTTACTGTCATCTGAAAATGGAGGGAACCCAGTGATACTAAAGGATTTGTTGTAATAAGATGTTTCACCAAACTGTGCTTGGCGTTTGTCTTGTCTCCTTGCTGAACTAAGCTTCATTTCTGTTTGTGGGCGGTGAGGCAGGAGGGTTTGGAGGTGGGGATAGCTATGGGTCAGCATGAAGCCAGTGCTGTGAGCATCAGTGCTGAACGCACTGTGTGAGGGGGCGGGGACTGGAGACATGAGGTTAACACACTTAAGGGATTTCAACGGAGATGGCTGGCTCGTCTGGCTTGTGGGTGACCTTGACATTGCTGGAGACATGAGGAAGAGGAGAAGGGAAAGGAATCCATTTTCTAGTTTCTCTTGCAGTACAAAAACATAGTGTGTAGTGAAAGTATGCCACAAAAGTCCTGTTTAGATGTTGGACCTCTCAGGATAGATGGTGGAAAAAATCAGTTTCCAAAAAAGCTGGAAATGCAATGAAATAGTATTTTGGAATTTGTTGAAATGTGATGTGTGTTTACCTGTGTGATCAGGTGCTAGGGAATAATCTCTGCCATATTTTGATTTACTGCTTTCATTTGTAGGCCTATAGCTAGCTAAAGGAGACCTGTGTTCCTGCGTTATCTTCTGTCACTAAGTTCTGGTTCTCAGGCCTTAGAGAAATTTTAGTAGCATATGTATGCTTTGTTAAGTAAGAGTCTGACAGCACCTATGCTAAGAGGTAGTTTAAATTGAACTAGTGTGTGATGAGTTTTTAATATCTCCATACTACAGATGTTGGACCTTTGCTTGGAAGCAGAGTTCAAGAACAGCTGGGAAAAGAAGTACGTCCCGCGCTTGATGCGGCTCTGACAATGGCAGGAGGTAAGATGTACACGTTGTTGTATTAATGTTCTGTTGCCGTGGTAAGACAGGCATCATCTTTCTAGTGCACAGCATGGGATGGCTTTATACAGTACTGTGATTCAACTTACCATTTTTCTACATGCCTTGATGTTTCTTTTTAAACTGAAGATTTCAGGTATTTTAAGGTTTATAAAAATATTAAAAACAAAATTAAGATTTCTGTGCTATTGTTGATACCTAGTTTCAGCAGTCATTGAAGAGAGATGAAATCTGAATTCCCTGCTCCAAGTGGTTGTCCCTTTCCATTGAATATAAGGGGGACTAGGAAAACTGTGCTTTAAGAGCTGTCCATAGCCTTTGCAGGTTAGTCTTTGTCAGGACAGGGAATGAACATACAATGGCCCTGTCGTGTACACTGCCAAGACTATTAGAGTGCTATCCATAGTTTCTTCACTGTGTCTTTGAGTTTAGCGTTGCTCATGCTTAATTCTGTCTCCCTTTAAAGAAAATACTCCTTTATTATTTTTTCTATTTAAGGGGTTTTTTTAGGAATAAGGTACAGCTTATAGAGCAAAGGGAAAGGCATCTATGAGCTTGAGTCACTTTGGTTTCTTTACCCCTGAATTCTTTCTCATTCACTCGTCATCATTCTCCTTTTTTGCTTTATTTCTCTTATTTGTCTTGAAGTCAAAGTGGAAAGGGCTATCAAAGGTAAAAAATGCCATAAACCCTTGTGTTGTGTGAAGTGCACTTTATTTTTGTAATGTGTATTTTTAGTTGTATCTGTGTGGCTTTTTGTCTATTATACACCTGTTCAGTGTTTTGTTGTTTTTATTTTTTGTTTGGTGTGATTGGGATGAAATCTAAAGCCAGACAGTGTTGAACACTCATTAATGCTTGCTGGTGCAACATGTCTTTCCCTTTCATCTTGCAGCTACATAGTTTGAGTTGGACAATAAACAAAATATTGAAAACACTGTTTTGTGAATATGGGCTTTCTTTTAATTTCTAATGACCAATGTTAAAGCTCT